ACTTTTGAACGGTTAAAGCTATAGCTTTCATACTTTACATAAGTAATTCTTGTAACAAGTCACTGTGGGACGCGGAGACAGGTCCTTCGGATGAGATCTTTCAAAACTGAAGGCCCATGTCACGACAGGTGCTAGCACGAAGAAGATCCCTTTCTGCTCAATGCCCTAAAAGCCGGGTCTAGGACAAAATTTGCGTCTCTCAATTGACAGGTGGTAACGTCTCCATATAGGTTAAAAATTCTCGAGAGGCACGTTAAATAATATACAACCAGTCGATCTTGTGACAAGGATACCAACAACTTTGACCCATTGACCTTAACCTAGGAGTTTGGCCTACTTTGGTCATAACTTTGGAACAGGTGGTCCTCAGACTTTCATATTTCAAAAGTGTATATCTTAGGAAAAGGCCTTACTTTGGTACTAACATTTGATTTGTATCTGAGAAAGTTTAAACATCGCTATGTTGCCATACGGAGACATCAATACAAGTGTTTCACAAGCATATTTTTTTTTTGAGGTCTCAGTTTTATTCTAGTCTTGTGAGTTTTGACAACAATTGGAAGTGACAAATGTATGGTCTGAAAATCCAAAATCGAAACCGAAAATTGTTTTAAATGATTGTTTGAGTGCATAATGCATCATTTTTGGGAGTTGAACTATGTTCAATCGCCCATGGTCATCACGCATTTAACATGCGCATTAATTTGTGTTGATTATATAGAGCCAATAGCGAGGCTACTGTGTCGGCCGATTTACTCCGATGATGTTCAACAGAAAACATCCATAAACATCCGCCACAAATAGTTCATGTCATTTTCTCCTGAATTAATCTAATTTTCAGAATGTAAGTAAATGTAATGATAAGATAATCTTATTTTGAATATTAGATTTTGATCGAAGTAAAACTAAATTACAAAGAACCTCGAAAGTTTTTCGTAATGGAACTCATTTTTAGTGTAGCGTCATACACTGAAAGAGATACGAACGACAACTCGACATACTGACGACAAGCGGTAAATTCAGTCCTCCCGACGGTCCCGAATTTTTAGCAATTTTTTTTTACCGGTGCACAGACTTTATTCAAACTTTTTATGAACATATTCTTGGTCAAAATGTCTTAAATTCATTAATGCATAAACATGGAAATATTCGTATTAATTACTAAATCAGCAGTATCACCTGCCAAAAGCGGTAAATCTAGTACTCTGTTATAAATGTTTAAACCAAAACCGGACGCCGATGTTTTCGTAAAATCGCGATTAAAAACAACAAAATGAAGTATATATATATATATATATATATATATATATATATATATATAATGAAATTAATTATTATTTATAAAGCACAATTTACAACAACTCTTAAACTAATATATATATATATATATATATATATATATATATATATATATATATATATATATATATATATATATATATATATATATATATATTAGTTTAAGAGTTGTTGTAAATTGTGCTTTATAAATAATAATTAATTTCATTAAAACATGTATTGGTTACAATCCTCTGTTAAAACTAATGTCAAAATAACTGTATCTCACTTCTATTCTCAATGACCGTGTAGAGTAGGGCAGCGCTGCGAGAATTCCATCGGCATCGAAAGCAAGATTTTAGACTTGCCTAGACAGCCGAGCGGTCTATTGCGCTGTTGCTGCACTGCTAGGAGACAGATTCGGTAGGTCGAGAGTTCAACCCCGGGCTGGGGCGGAAGTGGGTATCCATGTAAAAGTGAATTTCTTTGTGCTTTCTATATTAATATTTCTTCACTTAGGGCAGTTATGTTAGTTTAAGAGTTGCTGTAAATTGTGCTTTATATATATATATACAGTAAAACACGGTTATAGCGAAGTCCTGGGGACCTGTGAATTTACTTCGCTACATCCGTAATTCGTTATATCCGTATAAATAATTCGTATAACCATTATAGCGAATTCGCAAAATGCGTTGTTTACTTTAGGTTTTACGATGAAATGTGTTAGGGAAGCAAATATTATAAGTATATCTTCGAAAACTAAGGTTTTATTATGAATTGTATTCTATGTACAAATGCTAAAAGTAAATTAAATCAATTCAATTTTTCAATTTTTTTTATAATGTTGGAAAATTCGTTATAAAAGATATAAATTTCATTATATTTAATCTCAACGGGACTCAAAATCAGTTCGCTATATCCGTAAATTCGTTATATTAGAGTTCGCTATAACCGTAAAATTTTACAAAGATTTGTTAAGAATTTTGCCTGGGACCCTGAATAACTTTGCTATATCCGTGAATTCGCTATATCCGTGTTCGTACTAAACGTGTTTTACTGTATATCATATGTTGCCCGAATCCCAGTCTATAACTGTTTTGTTATACCCTTCACAGCTCACTTAAGATTGATCAATTTAAGCAATACACGCTTTATTATTAATTACTTTATATGGAAAATTATGGCTTCTTCAGTAAATATAACACATCAAGCTAAGAAAGAACAAAAATCAGTTATATATCTATTGTATCACAAAAATTATTTATCACAAAACATACTCTTCCCTTTTTCTTACATTGCTGTCAGCAACAACTCTTGTAGCTATTAACTTCGGCTATTTTTGTGTCGCCGATATTGAACGATGATTAATTACTTGATTGTGACGCAACAGACGAGTGACGTTGCGGTGTAACAATTCTTATGTAAGACCGGTCAATAGTGAAATTGTTAGACCGATGAAATAAACAGTTCTTTTGTTGGACTTTTAATAAGTAATATATAGAATGATATTTATAAGGGTATAACATATATATATATATATATATATATATATATATATATATATATATATATATATATATATATGTTATACCCTTATAAATATCATTCTATATATTACTTATTAAAAGTCCAACAAAAGAACTGTTTATACCCTTCACTGCTCACTTAAGATTGATCAATTTAAGCAATACACGCTATATTATTAATTACTTTATATGGAAAATTATGGCTTCTTCAAACTTTAGCAAAGCTCTTTGCAAAAAAAAAAAAAAAAAATATATATATATATATATATATATATATATATATATATATATATATATATATATATATATATATATATATATATATATATATATATATATATATATATATATATATATATATATATATATATATATATATATATATATATATATATATTTTTTTTTTTTTTTTGCAAAGAGCTTTGCTAAAGTTTGATAATTCAGTCTATTTCTGTTATTAATTTTCCGATGTTTACTTATCTGGTTTTTATAACTTTTTATGCCCCCGTAAACGAAGTATCGTGGGTATATAGTTTTGGTCGTGTCCGTCCGTCTGTTTGTCTGTCTGTCCGCAAAAACTTTAACCTTGCCCATAACTTTTGATTTAGTGGAGCTATGACTTTCATATTTCATATGCGTATTTCTTGTGACAAGACCTTTCTTTGGGTACCACCAAATTTGACCTTTTGACCTTGACCTTGGAGTTTGATCCACTTTTACATGAAAATTTTAAAATTTTACTTTAGCCATATCTTTTGAACAGTATATACCAGGACATTTATACTTCGCATATGTAATAATTGTTAAAAGACCTTTTACTGAATACCAAAAACTTTGACCCTTTGACCTTGACCTTGTAGATTTCCTTACTTGTGAAAAAACTTTAACCTTGGCTAAAACTTTTGTACGATAAAGGATGGGGCTTTCATACTTCATACATGTAATTCTTGTGAGAAGACCCTTTATTGGATACCAAGAACTTTGACCCTTTGACCTTGACCTTTGAGATTGACCTACTTTAAAAAAGCAAACCTTGAAAAAAATTTTAAAGAGCTAGGGCCAGTGCTTTCATACTTTACATGTTTGATTCCTATGACAAGACCTTTCTTTGGGTACCACCAAATTTGACCTTTTGACCTTGACCTTGGAGTTTGACCCACTTTTACATGAAAATTTTTTGAATCTTTACTTTGGCCATATTTTTTGAACAGTAGATACCAGGACATTTATACTTTACATGAATAATGTTTGTAAAAGACCTTTGACTGGATTACAACAACTTTGACCCTTTGACCTTGACCTTGTAGATTTCCTTACTTGTGAAAAAACTATAACCTTGGCCATAACTTTTGAACGGTAAGGGATAGGGCTATCACACTTCATACATGTAATTCTTGTGGGAAGACGCTTCATTGGATACTAAGAACTTTGACCCTTTGACCTTGACCTTTGGGATTGACCTACTTTAAAAAAGCAAACTTGACCATACCTTTTAAAGAGTTAGGGCTAGTGCTTTCATACTTTACATATTTGAGCATTATGACAAGGCCTTTCATTTGATAACAACAACTTTGACCCTTTGACCTTGGAGTTTGACCTACTTTTTAAGAAATTGAACGTTGACCATACCTTCTGAACGGTAAGGGCTACGGCTTTCATGCTCTACAAAAGTATTTTATGTGGCAAGACCTTTCATTTGATACTCATTACATTGACCTTGTGACCTTGACCTTGGAGATTTCTATAATTATTAAAAAAAAACTTTAACATTAGCTTATTTTCAAATTTCACAATTGTTTTCCAGTGAGAATAACCTACTTTTGGTACCAATTAATTAAATTTGCATTTAAGAAAAGCTCAGTCTTTGCTATGTTGCCATACGGGGGCATCAGTGTTTTACAAACACATCTTGTTTGTTTTGTTTCTGTGGGTTTTTTAAGGATCTGTGTTCATTTGATTTTGTTCTGAGTTTTTATATTATTTTTTTCCTATTTTTTCAAGAATAATTTTTTTCTTGATAAATCTGAAAGCAAATGCAAATGTATAACAGTAAATTAAAATAAGTAGCAATACGCAAAGGCCATTTGCAATATGAGGTTTTATGGTTGTTTGTATATATATTCTACATTCTCAATACTATTGTTTAGCAGTTTATTTACAAGTTTCAATTGTTTATTCATAAGATTTATCTTCAAAAATCAACACTGATAATGTTTTTCTAAATTTCTAAATGCAAAATTCCGACAAAATACGATAGCAATGCAAATAACAACACCTGATGATTTGTAATGCTAGAATTTACTCGCAACGGTACTGTATTTGCATATTGTAACAGCCACAAGAAGTTGTGATACAGTACATGGAATATCAAAATCTGGAAAAGAAACAAAAATGGGTAAGTTTTTCCCCACATCTTTTTTCATTTTTTTGAGCATAAACAGTCCATTGTTTGACTAAAAAATATACTTTTTTTTGCATTATATTTTTATGAGTGGAAAATGCACTATATCAATGTTATGTAAATGAAAAGGAAAAAAAGCACTTTTGGTGATTTTTAGCCGGGCTTGCTAAAAGCATAATATACAGATGTTGACTGGGTAGATGGCAACAGTCGACCGGTTGTACCCGAGTGCAAGCTGTTGCCCAAGGCCGTAGGCCGCGAGCAACAATTTGCACTCCATTCCAACAGATTGACTGTTTCCTAAGACTCATGTCAACAACTGTTTTGTTATACTATTTTGCCAACTGTAAAGATAACTGGGTTTAGCGCCATATGACGTCAACGGGCAACAGTCATTTTTAACAGTCAATTTTAACAGTTCCTGGACCGGCAGTCAGGGAAAACAGTCGAACTGTTATAGTAAAAAATTAAATAGGGAATATCTAGTAGGGGTATAACAATCTTGGCTGCAGGCATTGTAATCGACTGCCTTACTATATATAGCACAGTGTTAAAAGTAAAATAAAAAGGTTATTCAGATCCTGGTTTTCTTCAAATACCCAGAAGCATCTTTATCACCTTGACAGCGTTGATGTTGTGCAAAAAATGATTTAATTTTAAAGGATATTTCACGAAATCAGCAGAAATTTATTTTTGAATACATTTTAATCTTCATTATTTATAATATATGTCTTTCTTTACATTCCTTTAAGTTATATTACTGTGCATGAATACGAACTTTATTACTCTTCCAATTTTTGTAGGTGACGTGAACATCATGTATATAAGCAAATCCGATGAATGCAAAGTAATTATGACAAACTTTTTGACGTTGTTCAAGAAAAGAACCTATTTTGAAAAAATACCAAACAATGATGATGAAAGTATTGTTCTGACAAAACCATCAGTACTCGTATTTATCAATCGACCTACGCTTGCTCAAGAAGTTGAAGCAACACTCGGAAATCTTAAATCTAATGGTACAATCTTATTTTTAAATCTATTTTCTCCCAAATTTATTTAAATTTTTTCCTCTTTAAAACTTAAAACTTTTGATTAAATTTTACATTAGCTTCTTTTTTTTATTTTTGTTTATTTTTATGAAATAATGCCAATGTTTATAACCTAGGAAATTTTCTCATGATTTTCGTCGTGGCTTGTGAGACTGCGGATCAAGAAACTCCTATTCCTGCGTTTACTATGGATAGTAAAGTTTGTATGTGGGCTTTAGTTTGTGGCTGCAATGAGAACAAGTGTACAGAAACAGAGGAAAATATTCGTGCAAATATAATTCTGGACTGTTTTTTATCAATCATTCCTATTCCCAAACAGGCAATGATGGACGTGGATAAAGATGCCAGTACGTAAAAACTGCTGGATTTATATTTGGAGTTCTTTCAATGTACTTTATAATCTAACTCTTTATCCCTGTTCTTTTCCAGGTAATCAATTACAAATGACAAAAAATGTTAAAGAGGCATATCCGTCCGTTGATATTGAAAATATGAGTGAAGATAGCAAAGATGGTAAAGTGTCATATTTCTAATATTTCAAATACCAAATTTAAAGTTGGCATTTCGTAAACTATATGACCGTTATAATTGTTATGTTAGCAAATTTAACCAACAATTGGGTCATATTTTGACAAACTTTTTTATACCAATTCCTTGGCCTCGTTCTATGTTGTGAGTTTACCAAGGAAAATTCTGTTAACCTGATCAATCAAAGAACTCACGATGTATGTTACCGGTAAAAAGGGGGTGCTAACCCCTTCGTACATGTAGCACCTGAATTCAGTGGTCAGTGTTTCATGCCCTCTTCACATATTGTTAAACGAGAATATTTGGCGCATACTAATTTTAGCGCCTCTGGCGCAAGAGCCCCTGAACGCTAAAATTTATTTTGCGCTCAAGGATTTCAAAATATATTATTTTTTGTGTGTGTTCAAAGCTTTTACATAGAACATGTAAACCGGGAACGCACGATTACGTAATGTCGAAGGGTCGTTGGGTTTTATATACACACTAGCACTGTACATGGTTGGATCGATCGAGATAGTTCGTTCTGAAAATTATAATTTAATTAAACTTAAATTATTACCATGGTAGATTTTACTCCGCCAACCCTTATCATTAGCACCTCCAAAGTTTGGCTTCTTGGTGTGTCAATTATATATCGCCTCGAGATAAATAATGCAATCAAGCATGGCGATTGAGCTTGCAGACAATACCTGCATGATTATGATTACCCTTTATCCAAGTAACTTTCTTTCAATGCATGTATTGTTTTAATATGAATAAAATACATAAATACTCCACTTCTTTTATTCAAAATAAAATTATAATAATTTTTAATATTGTTCCACGTCTTTGTGATTGCAACACCACTTTAAAGTTGACGAGTGTTTACTTATATACGGGAGTGCTATTGTGTTTCCATGCTTGACTAACCAAAAAGTCAAATACGGATGAGATTTAAAAAACAAAACTCACATTTATATGTTTAAATGACAGGAGCAAGCGCTAAAATGTATTTGCGCAAATATATTCCCTCTTGCATTTGCGCTAAAATACCTTTTACAGTATTTGTACTGTTTATAGATTTGCTGATATCACTATTCATTATCTTCACATAGTACATTTCACCGTTACAGTACAATATGCAATTTTATTGACTCCAATTATGCCTGCTGGTTTTTATGTTCGAGAAAACCTTTAAAGAATAGGGGAAAAAATTAAATCGTTTAAGTATATATTATTATTATACAATTGTTTTTTTAATCGCAGATTATGTTCGGGTGATTTGCTGTGGAATTTCCAAGCATTATTACGAGCCTTTTGACAAATTTATGACAACTAAAATGGGGTTTTCTACTCGATTGGTAGATGAAAGCAAAAATTCAAATCGCACGCCTGTTGTTGGACTATGTGTCCAATACGACGATACCCAAAAAGACATAAAAGCTCTGGAAAAAAAAATTGGTATAGTGAAAAATTTTGTACTTAGTAGTTTCCTTTATGACAAAGACAAATCAAATAGAATACCTTGCCTAAAAGCATATCGATGAACATGTGAATATGAATATATTTGTCTTCCAGAAACATTTTACAATAACTAAGAAGTATTTAGTGATTTTATAACTAAATGGTGAAAACGTTGTAATATGCATTAAAAGCATATATTCGTTTTGTCGTTTTTAGTAGGTAGCCAGGCAACTCTTGTCATCATAATTGAGTGTGCTAAGAACGTACCACCCCCGACTACTCAGCTTTCCTTTAATGAAACGGTGTTTCCTAATCTTGTTCGTCTTCTGTACAGTATATCAGACCATGAGTTATACGACTGCAAGGAAGCAAGATATACAGTGGAATTATTAAAAATAATATGGAGTGACAATAGCATATTAGGTATTATTTTCAATTATGAAACACAATGAAAAATAATCCTAATATACGACTAAATTTGCTACAAAGCGTCTTCAGTTTATACCCAAAAATGAAGGCTTCATTTCAAGTGGAGGGGCCTAATGAGATGAATAAAGCAATTCTTCTAGGTCTTAATCAACTTTGCAAAATTACAGGAATTAAATTTAAGTAAAAATAAAGAACGAGGCTGTGTTACCCAAAAGGGTCACTGCAATTCATGAATTTAATTGTTATAAAGTTATAACGATCTTTAAAGCTGGAATACATGGTGAGCTTGTACCTAGCCCAAATTTTAAAGGACAGAAGGTGTAAAACTGTTGGAAATACAACATATTTAAAGGAGAATTTTGGGCAAGACTGCGCTCGGGGTAAACTTTTTGAAAAAAGGTACAGAACGCCGACCGTTTTCTTCTCTATTTACGGGTATTTACATGTCATTGACCTCATTGTGACTTGTTTAGTATTCCAATATCTCACGTGATTTGTAGACTCAGGTAACTTTTTGAATACAAAAAAATCAATAAAACACGTGGCTGTAGCTCCGATTGATAACATTGCATCAAAAAACGACCAACTTATACCGTTATATGTACATTTTCAGTTAATCAACATCGAATTCATTTTTCGGCTTAGTATTTTTTATAATGTAAAGGAAAATTAAATTGGACAAAATGTAATGATATTTTATTTATTATAGTCCTTGGATTTAGGGGGACGTTTGGAGGGTCAAAGAATTTCAAAGAGAATTAGTCCCAATTGTTCTAATACCATCATTCATCAAAGTGTTTTTACTGTAGAAATACCGTATAAGTAGAAATTTTAGCGAGGATTTAATTTTGGCATTATTAGCGAGGGTGCTGAGATCGCTTAAATTGAATATCGCAAAAAATTAATTGCGTTTTATTTGTAATAGCTTATTTAATGTGCATTTTAAAATCGCTAAAATTACATCTCGCTAAAAATGAATTACCAGTTTTTAAGGACAAATCGCTAAATTTGCGTCTCGCTAAAATTTCCACTTATACGGTATATGCACACAGGGTATAAAGTAGGTAGATGGTTTAACACTAGAATGATTTCTGGGACCCCCCTCCCCCCGAGAGAAAAAAAACAAGCAAACAAAAAAAAAAAAAGAAAAAAAAACGTTCACACATACAATTAATAAAATTGTTTTAGTAATAAAATACCCTGTATCACCACACGCAGCATCACAACAACAAAAACATTCTGTACACCATTATGTACTAAGTATTTACTGTACTGTTAAAAGTACGTAGAGAGAGAGAGAGAGAGAGAGAGATTTAATAAATTCGATACGGCACTAATTTTTTAGAAAATACAAAAGTTTTTTCTTTAATTGGATTTTATTCCGTTTTTATTTACAAACTTGTAGGCTTCCTTTATCAGTTTATCTTAAGTGTTAAATTTTCACCTACATTAGAAACGACTAAAATTGAGGGGAAAATCTGGATTTAGGGAGGGAGTACATGTACGCGCAAGATCACCCATCCCCCCCCCCAAAAAAAAAACAAAAAAAACAAAAAACAAAAAAAAAACCGATGAAAAGCTTGAGAAGTTCTTTGTGTTTACTTTTCATTTATATTTTGTGGCCGTAAAAAACTGGCTATTTATACATGTTTTCAATCGATCGATAAAATGCCCCGCCTACTCCGAATATTAATGTGACACAATTAAAACCCAACTCGGGCAAGCGCTACATTCCGGAATTAACATCCACTATAGGGCTTTTTTAATGACCTCAAATAAAACTAAAGCGCTGTTTTCAAAGAAATTTTTTGCAAGTAATGTACCACACTGATAACAAAATATCGGTTAGGTGTAAAATTATTAAGATTTGAGTTAATTAGATAAAGTTAAATTTCTCAAAAAAGGGGCCAAGGCACTATGCTTAAGTGGAAACATTCTTTGCTACAAAGCGTCTTCAAATTATACCCAAAAAATCAAAGCTTCATTTCAAGAGGAAGAGAGAAAATTAAGCTTTTAAACAAATCATAACCAATCTACTAAACCAGAAAAACGTATCAGCGCAAAAATATACCTGACATAGTGTCGATTCAAGTCTCTTTCAAATTATGTCGTTCAGTGGTAGGATAGTGGCAAACACAAGGAATCAAAGTGACAAATACATAGAAAAAGATGGGTTTTTTACATATGCCCACGTAAGACATCTTATGTCGAAAGTTAGTTTTTCAAATGCAAGTAAAACTCCAAGGTCAAGAGATCAAACATTTTATTACCAAAAGAAACGAATTGTGTCAATGGATAAACATGGTAAATATGAAAGCCCGAGCACCAACCATTCAAAAGACATTATCAAGTTAATGTTTTCTCAAAGTTGTCAAAATTCAAGGTCAAAGGGTAAAAATTAATGGTACGCAAAGGAACACCTTGCCATAAAAGTATACCTACTTAATACAAAAGTTCTTGGACCAACTGTAAAAATGTTATGAAAAGATTTTTTTTTCAAAAGTAGGTTAAACTCAATGGGTAAATGCATTTATGTAGGCCGAAAGAAAATTTGACACACACTTTTTTTTAAATAAATATAAGACACCAGAACCAGTAATTAAATATTTCTGGGTATTGATGTCTAGAAGTAAAAACGAATGTTAAAACTTGCAGTTATTTTGAACCTTTTTTCTCTACCCCCTCAAGCCTCGGGGAGGCACAGGCTATAAAAACCACACCTTTTCATTCTCTTCATGTAAAGACCTGAATTGTTTTAAAATCGGCTCAGCAGTTGCAGGGCAAATTCTCAAAATAATCAAAGTTTACTCCTGATGTTCAGACACTAGGTTAAGATTACAGGTTATCAATACACAAACACCAAATCGACAATACAATACGCTCCACATATTGCAACGCAAAATAGGAGAGAGATCCTCTATTCATTTTCTTTAAAAGACATAACAAGAACAACAAATCTACATTGTATATTGCATATGAAAAAGTAGAGAAAAAAGTCAAACCTTGGATGTGATTCAATGCTGTTTTTTTCATAAACTGCAATTTATTGCAGGTTCAGAAAGTCCAGGAAAGTCAAAGGGAAAAGGCATAACCAGAAAAGCTAGCAATTGTAGGTATATTTGCAGTATTTCAAAAGTTTGGAAACTTTGTTTGAATTTTTAATGTGAATCATGTCGTTTATAGTTTTTTTTTTTTTTTGGCAAAACTGAAGGTAATTTTAGATTTAACTAATGTCATATTTGACAAACGTGTTAAAATCTTATGGTCTATGCTAAGATTTTTCTTGCATTTTATTTTCCCTGGGTACAATATAATATACGTGTATATTGTTATAACTTTAGCATATTAACTTTGAATCACTTTAATTTAATTTAAAAATCAACGCAATCTTTTATTTGTAATTCATTAGTTTTATGGAACTGCTTTTCAATATATCAATATCAGTTTGCTTTCAAAAAGCAATTTGTTTTTAACAAACATAAGATTTTTTGTTACGGTTTCGACGTCCCGCAACGTGAAGATTGGCTCCTTACTCCGACTCTAAAGCAGACGCTCTCATCACTGCACCACGAGGACGACTGAACATAAGATTGCATCACAAAATAGCGACAGTTTTTTGAAATTCTGGTTGACGTTCTACATGTACAATTCCAAATTACAGAATATTGAAATTCCAGAAACATTTTTTTCGCAATTACGTTCTTGTGCAAATTTTGGTGCAAACTATTTTTCCCATATAAATGTAATGTTTTACAAGAAACCTTTTTGCTGAAATCAAAATTTGTTAGTATTTTGTAAATCAATAGCGTGAGATTTTTTTTTTATTTTAAAAAAGTCTTGTTAATCATAATAATCAAAAAACATTATAATTGATATAATTTCAAATTCAAATTGGTTGTGTTAAAGATTTGAAATTTTCTAAGGAAACCAAAGAAGAAAGTATTTAAGTACATACTTAACTATAATACAAGGTACTTTTTGCAAAGTATTAAAATTTCAATTATATGGTAAAATTCTGTAATGGTACGTTATACATATTTTTCTATTCTGTTGAAGATTATTTTCTTTCCGTTTCAGTTTTCAGACGAGCACTTTCTTTACAACAAAATTCCAAAACAGTTCAGAATCCAGGTATTAATTACCGTTTGTTTATCAAAAGCAATGGTTAGATTTCATCAGCAAGAACAAAACTTTTATAAAGGAAAAATAAATTCATCATGAAGAAATATTTTTTTGGTTTATTTGAAGCTTAAGTTTGCTTTTATGAGGCATTGAGTGATGATAGATTTGTGTTGCGTATGCTCATAACACAATTTAGATCATCAAGAAAAAAGAGTGTCTTAATATCATTTACAAATATTGAGTGTGTTCTTAGAAAAACAAAGGATATTTTATTTAACAAGCATTATTATAGAGCATTTAAGACAGACTATCCAAAGTACAATACATTGTAAGTAACATTATCTACATAGTTGGCTTTAATTATAAAAATAATATGTTTAACTTTACAATAGTACACCAGGAATTCATAAATATATTAATTCTCTTGATCCTTCATAAAATGTCTCTTGTTTTAAGAGCTATATTTATTTGCTAATGCTTTTAAGACATTATATCTGAATAGAGACAAAAAATAAACTATCAATCTATGATCACTTGTAATGTATGTTTGGCAACATTCATAAATTCATTTTCTTTAACATATGCTTAATAATGATTTTTTTTCCTTACAGAGCCTCAGATGAGTGAAGGCTTTATGAGAGTAGATTCCAGAGATATTGCTATTCTTTGCTCTCGTAAAATTGAAGTTTGCAAGAAAATATTCATGAATATCAAAAGTCAATGTTCTATCCAGAGAGACATTCCATGGATTTCTAAAGTAGAAGAAGCCAATAAAGCTACCAAAATTATTTTGGTTTGTTTGAAAATTTCACGCTTATCAGATGACATAGCAGACGCAGCCAAAACTGCTGGCTTTTCAGGTATTTGTAATTCATATTTCCCATTATCATTGACATATCGAAAAAAAAGGTAAGAGTTTAAATTAATTTTTGTTTACAGCTGATCAGAAGTTTTTCCTTGTCATAATACATACCACAGAGCCTGGTGTTGATCCAGACATTTCAGTTCCAATGCAAGATGAAAGAATATTAGATGTTGCCAACATACTATACAGTGAAAATGTTGGATGTTATGACTGTCAGCAGAACAATGTTGCAAAGTCAAAAATCAGTTCTTGGTTTACAGAAACCAAGTAACCATTATAACTTTTAGTACTGACGCTTATATAGAAGAACTATTCGATGAATTATTTTGAAAACATATGAAAATTGTTTTGCTTACTTTTATTAAGGTCAAGAATTATTATGCTTGTGTACATGGATTACAAAATTCATAGATTTAAAATAAACGTTCTGAATCTTCCCTCTTCATATCAAAAAGAGATAGGTTAAGAGAAAGTAAAGTATACAAAAAGAAACCAAGGTATATGTATTTCAAGCTAAAAGCACAAAAATGTCATCTTTAAAAATGATTTAAAAAGAATATCAGAAACAAATCATTACACTACAAAATTATTTGATTGTTGTAGTTCTTTCTATACATCCAGGTATTAAAAACAAAGCTTTGAAAGCGGAATATTGAAGGTAATTAAATCTGAGCAATAAAATTAAAAGAAAAAAATACAAAAAATATACATGTATATACTTACTATAAGTTTCATATCAGGGTTCGAAAGCATCATAATGAAGTTTTACACTGATACTAATTAACACCTAAATACAGCTAGAATTTGAGCGTGAGGAAGATCGATGTTGCTATGCCTTTCATTCTTTAAATTATCTCATATATAGTTTGATCTTGAATACTGTTCGATATCTCCATACGTTTCATATGTTTAATTACGTAAATATCACTCAATATTTTTGATTACACAACGTACAGGCCATATACAATGAGTGACAACTCTATAATTTTCATTAAATTAGCATGATAGCCAGCGTAAGTTACACTTAAATAACTTACCAAGTAACAATCTTAATAACAGTCCACATTTACGATCGGAAATACTTTCCAGTACTTAATGGCTCGTTCTCCAGTGTAATGCGGAATGAATCTATTTAACCCATCCTGTATAAGGGCAATAAAGGAAAAACAAATTTGTTTTTTCTCTTTTTATGCCCCTGTAATCAAATTTTTGCCCTGTCAGTACGTCTATCTGTTTGTTTGTCTGTCTGTTTATTATTGTCTGTTTTTTTTTTTTTTTTTTGTTGTCTGCGGAAGTATTAATCTTGCCAATAACTTTTGAGTGCTTGGGAATATAAATATCAAATTTCTCAAGTTTATTCCTAGTGACAAGGCCTTTCTTCCACATTGACCTTGAAGTTTGACCTACTTTTACAAAAAAAATAACATTTAGCCATGACTTTGAACAATTGGTGTTAGTGCTCTCATACTTCATATGTGTATTTCTTGTGTCAAGACCTATCAATGGGTATAATTTTTTTTTTTTACATTTTGACCTTGAACATAGAGTTTGACATACTTTGAAAAAATTACAATGGTCATAACTTTTGAACATGTAGTTATGGCATTCATATTTCACCTATGTATTCTTTGTAAGTAGTCCTTTCTTTTAATACCAACATTTTCATCTTTGGACCATGGAGTTTGGGTTGCATTTGAGAGACTTCCACCATCGCCATAAGATGCAATACGAATGCATGAGTGTTTCAGAAAAAAAACATCTTGATTTTGTATATTTTAACCATCCATTTATTATTATTTATGATTACCGAAGATACACAATACCTTTAAAATAAATATCACTAGTAATATGACATTATAATGAATATCGTAAAATATCAAAGTCTGAACATATTATGAACAAACTGACATTTTAAAAAAAACGGAATGCAACCAAAGGTATTTTACCTGAATAAAATCAACAAGAGACAAACTAGCATTTATATCCCCGTAAAAAATTCTGAATTACGTACTATATCAGCTACTCCCTTCGAATTTGCAACAATTACTTAAAGAAATATTGATTTGAATTGATATTTGAATTGATATTTAAATAAAGTATGTCTTCCTAGACTCTTTATTATTCACTCACATTAAAAATCATTTTGTCTTAATTAATTATATTAAAGTACTCCTTTATCATATTTTCCGACGGCGAATTTGATAAACAGTTGACATCCTTCTGTTAATGTTTGTCTGTCATCTTTTGTTGTGTGTCTGGCGTTGTCTTTAAAATTTTAAAAATCTAAGCTTACTCTCCGGAACCGTTGAACAAATTTCAACCATAGCATTTAACATCTATGAACACAAAATGAAAATTTTATAGTCTTGATTGGTGGGAAAAGACAATCAAATAATGCAATCTTCGAAAATCTTTCCAATTCTTGGACATGGGGCAGTTGAACTATTTTCAGGACTGGTGAAAAGCTTTTCCTCTCCCACAGATGTAGTAGATAAACTAGTGCTAGCTATGAGAAGCAAGGCTTTATTTTGGAAAATCGTAAATCTTGTTGCCACAGACTCGGGAGTACTGTCGGGAACTCTGTGGAAAACGTGGTTTTTTTCTTTGAAGACCTTATTAATTTTCTGTTCTTGGGTATTAAACAAATAAACAAAGTGCATGTTCATGATGAGCAATTAAAGGTTCCTATAAGGTAATATTAAACTTATTAGCGCCTGTGCTATGGGTTCTTCTAGATCTGTAAGCGCAGTAGGTTAGAAGATTGGTGTTTGTGGGGGTTGATTTAATAGCTAAAAGCACATTGTCGATTAAATCCTTCTCCTTTGTTAATTTATATTAAACAAACTAAGTACATAGTACGTAGTGGGCCCTGTGATTATATGATGTTCGTAATAGCTCTTGCACCTCTTGCAGAATACACAATTTAGCCTGTTCTTTTTTTCCTTTCAGCTTTTATTCTGGTAAATTTAATAAATGCACAAATTACCATATTTTAAAGAATCATTGTGATGCCCAAAATCTTCAGATATTGCATGCGTATTTTTTTGACGATCATACGAATGGCAACCGAAAATGGTGTCAACTGCTTTCAGGCGATCGCATATTGGCTGCAACCATGCATTTCAGGTAATGTCTTCCTTCATACGATGCAACAATATATTAAAAGTTAAACAAAAGATGTAGAACGTCCGCAATTCGATTGTTTAAAACATGTTTTGTAAATCAAGTAATTTTTACAACACCTTATTTTGGCAAGTCTTTTACTCTTGATAAATGGAAGAATTTTTATGAATTGTGCTTATTTCTCTGTATAATCTTACAGAATGCTATTATATGCGAGAAAGAAACTTTCGCAAGCACACTGTCCCTCTTTATTCAAGTTCTTGCGAATAAAATATTGATTTACAGTATTCTCCAAATGAAAGCATTTCAACATAGATTATCATGAGCTCTCATTTGTAACACATTTTTATCGGTTTATAGGATGGGGGCATTTTCAAAATTTTTTACACCATTGTTGTGTATTTTTATCTTAAAATCATTAGAAAAAATCACTTTAATTAGGAAATTTGTAGAATAAAATGAAATTTGTGGAGGTCACGAACAGCTCAAAAGTCCATTAAACATTACACGATACCCGAGTTTCGTTGCCAATTCAAGACTCTTGTTTATGCATTCAAAACACTCGACGGACAAGCTCCAACATATGTTAGCTAACTAATCGAGCCGTACACATCTTCACGTACCCTACGCTCAGAATCAGCAAATCTGCAAGGACTGTGACTTATGGGAATAGACGATTTGACAAAGCGGCGTCCTTTTTATGAACTATCTGCCTTTGTATTTAAGAAAGTGTGACTCAATTGGAATTTTTAAGAAAAGCTTTAAACCTTACTTTTTAAAAAGGCATATGACTTATAAATTGTGCATCTAAGCCTTTTATTATATTTTGGACACAATATTTTAAATTTTTATCATCATTTTAGTACTTTTATGGACTTGGACACTTTAAATATTTATCTTATAATATTCGAATATGACTGCTGTGAATTTTTAAGTTTTCTTTGTTTTACATACAATGCTTGTACAGCATCTTAGAGTTTTAATATATAGGGTGTTTATAAATGTTTAATAATAATAATAATAAAAAATAATAATAATAATAATACCCCGTATGAGAGGAGCAAACGCAAACACGGACTTCCAAAACATCAGAGATGAGATCAGGTACCATGTAGGAGAGAACATCCCCTGCCTTTCTCGGACCTTTAACATGATATTTAAAAGTAAAACAAAAAAACAAGTATCACCTTAAATTTTAACCCTATCCCACTGAATTAGTTACAAAATCATACATGAAAAGTCCTACATGAGGAGGGGAAAGCCTTTCTTTTTTTTACGGTGTGTAAAGAAGACAATGAAAGGAAAAACTTCTAAACTTATGCTTCAGAATAATGAACGTTTGGAGTTATATGATAATAATCGTAAAGATATGTTTACATTCTATTCGTCAAGTACTCGTAATTACCTGGGGCCAGTTTCACAAAGCCTACTTGGGACTAAGTTATTTCTTCGGAAAGAACTTTTTCCTAAGTTCATTACTTATCTGTTTCACTAACCTCGTCTTATCTTAGGATGTTCCTAAGTTATGTCGTAACTTTAGGACAAATTGATGACTTAAGAAGAAACTAAGTATAGATAGTTTTCGATTGACCTAAATTTAGCGAAAGTTACCTCCCGTTGGCCGCCATACTGGAGGTCCAAATGCTCATATTCCTTCATGTTCAACCAATTTAAAAATTTTTTTATTTGCGATTTTGAATTAGGAATCATTATTTTTCTGAAGTATATAAATTTTTGAAAGCCTCCTTTATTTAAAAAAAATATATATTTAATAAAGATTTCCCACCAAATATTTATGCTATATTTTCTTAAACTTGGTAAGACAAAGAGGAAAACTCTCCGAGTCGACCTCCAATATGGCGACCAACGGGAGGTAACTTTAGGTCAATCGAAAACTATCTATTGCGGATGCATATCTAAGATTTCTTATGCACAGAGAGAATGTGTTTGGGGACAGAAATTCCAATGGACTACAAGTGTATGGATGATTGTGATCCTTCGAGGTTAAAACTGCTTTACTTTGCATGGAATTACTAGGATTTCAATAATTGGTAAAAATGTGTCAAAATTAGTCCAAGGTATATGAAAATGTCCTTCCACAAAAGTGGAGCTGGCGAAATAGATGGTACACATGCTAGAATAATCCACCATCATTTAAAGAGCACGCCTTTGTAAACCAAAAAAAAGCACACAATTTGATCTATAATTATACATGCATGTATACATTGTGTTTTTATCTACATGTAAATGTAAATTTATTTATATATTACTGGTATTTTAATCGATATTAAATAAGAATTTGAAAAATGATACTCATTATTTTAGATAAATGGAAACACTTCTTCACTTTCGATAAGTGCATAATTCTTGATTTATGGTTGCATCTAATCTCCTCTAGGACGTTATTATTGACACAGTTTTGTTTTCTATAGTATTTTATACATCGGTAAAATAATTATTACCCCCCCCCTTCCCGTGCTCCTCAAGTTCCTACGGCCATGATATTACAACCAGTTTTCATCTCCGCTGAATACAATGTATAAGCTATGCATGGGACTTCAATAAATTTCGTTTTTTAACTTCTTCTTTTAGTATTCTCATATATGTATTCGCGAACTTGGGATTTTTTCTGGCATGGCACTATTATTTTATATATGTGAGAAAGCTTCACACAGCACGAACAACAAACGTGGAGTAGTCTTTAGCAAAAACTTTTTTAAAAAAATGCTCTCACATGTGTTCGATACGAAGCAATCATTTTAATTTGAATTTTATTTAATAATTGACAAGTGGAAAAGTTTAGTAAAAAAAAAAACCCACCAGGGATCGATACCTGCTTATAAAGAGCAAAATAAAGTAAATGTATTTATAACACGAAGAACAATGTTTTTAAAAAAATTACAAATATCGTGTGCCCGGAAGGGAAGAGGTCTTGAAAGGGTTTGTCTGTGAATGCTTAGTTCTAGCAACAAACTTTGCAAAGTTAAAACATACTTTTGTCCAAGTCCCTTGAAAGTAGGGGTTATCCCCAATCCTCCAACCCCTCCCTTTTTGAATCTAAAAATATCAACCATTCTGACATAATGAGAGTTGTAGACAGAGCAGAGAAGTTATTTCATTTGTCCGTTAAAGGGACAACTTAAGAAATGACTTAGGAAAAATTTAAGATAAGATTGTTTTGTGAAACAGCTGTTACAAATCTTAGGAACTTCCTAAGTTGTAACTTAGGCATATCTTAAGTTTTGTCTTACGACATATCTCAGGAAACGTTTGTGAAACAGGCCCCTGGTCTTAAAATATGAAACCTATTAAAGTACATGGGTAAATGTTGTATTTATCAAGACATATGACGAAACTTGTTTTTGGTCTTTTTTTCTTTTGTTGTATTTGTAGTTTCTAAAAAGAACCATATCATAAATTCATCCTAGTTAACAAAATTAATATTTAAAGATGATTTTCAGTTAATACTTCCAATAAGAAACAAGAGTGAAACATGATAGCTTTTTTACTTTATCAATGACATTGAAATTTAATACTGGCAAGGTTTTGTCATGTTCTTTGCTCACAAACAGTGCCAACTAATTGTCTTTTAAAAACAATTTTCATTTATTTGTTTTTCTGCTCCATATTTCCAGACGATGCTGAAAGCGGTCGCCTTCTTGCATATTCAGAAATAAATGGTAGGTGAAAGTAACTGCGCTGACATTGTACTTAGCTTTATAAAAAAAATCAATTGTTTTGAACCATTTATTCTGAGACTTATGTCATTTCTTTCAATCATATGCTCGGAATAGTTTCACGGGTTACATAAGCTATCCATTATAATACTTACCCTTTGGTAAGACCCAAACCAAGTACCACTTTAGGCACTTTGTCGGGCAGACACCAGCACGATAAAAATCGACCAAATCTCAATGTTCAAGAGTGTCGAGTAAAGGTCTTAATTTTAAGCTCTTTGTCGGTGAATGATGACGTCTCTATATAAATGAAAAAAATCTGAATTGGGACGTTAAAAATAAACAAACAATCAATTCATCAAGCAAAGGGCACGAATTTTAAACCTGAACATTTACTGGACAAAAAATATAAAGAAATGTGCTATTACTGAAAGATATATGCATTTTTCGAAGTAGAGAAATTAAAACTGAATTTAGTTTGAGGCTGAGTAGTTTTTGTTTGAAATTCTACATATTTGAGCATAATATCGAAACTTTTGACAAGAACTCTTGTTAATACATTCTTTCTCCCAAATCTTCGAATCTCTTCGAAGTTTTATTTTTATCAACACTCTTTAATTTTATCTCATACCTCGTATATTATGGGACACCCTGTATAAATAAAATTTCGATAAATATATTTTGTTTACTACTAATGTAACTGGAAGTTATACATACATGTATCTATGGCAATTTTTTTTATCAAATAAATGGGTAAAAAATACTTCCTTTATTTTGTTCAATCAGTTATTGAAGGAATATCTTAAGTTTCTATAACACAGATATCTGTACGTATATTCTATGCATCATAACTTTTATCAGGACTGAAATATTAATCAAAATTATTTCTATATCTAGAATAATTTTATTTTCCAGTAACAGCAGTTTCTCACCAGGCGTTTTGTAGAGAAATCCTGGATTCTTTTCTAAACAAATACTTGTTCCAACAGCAAAACATAAATTGGCATGACGGGAACGTGGTTAGTGGACCATCAATTGTCGTTTGCCCAAAACTCTCAAGACTTACAGACGATATTAAAGCTACTCTAGGTGCTCTCGATATTAAAGGTAATATGAATTAAGCTATGTCTTTTGTTATAACACCTGGCACCAAGACCATGAACTGACAAAAGACTTAAGTCAAAATTTCAAATCAGTGTAACTTTTTAAATGAATTTCAAAATGAAACAAGATTTTCAAGCTATGTTTGTGTTAAAATATTTCACAAACTTGCAAGTTTTTAAGTTTTTTCGTTAAATACTTATGAAAATATTAAAAATCTTAATTTTGACTAAGTCTATTCACAGTTAATGGTCTTGGAGCCAGATTGACTATGTTGAACAAGGCGTGCAGAGTACCTATAGCTCAGATAAATAATAATAATTTCACTTTGTAAATTTTGTATTTAAACTTCTTAAATTCTCATTATTGAAATTCATGAAATTGTGAGAATCATTTTTTTAAGGAAAGATTTAAAAATAACAAAAACAATCTTTAGTTTCATTTTCCTTTAAGAATATCACACTAACCATTACCCTACAATTTAAGTAATAATTATGGCATGTTAAATTGCATTTCTTATAATTGAAAAGATCTGATGGCAATCATTGCACATACCTGTATCCTAAATAGCTAATAAGCTTATCATAGATAAATTTTGCAATTATTCAGTACTCATGAAATTTAGGTCATAGGTGATGTGAAAGGTCACACACTAACTGGTACCTGTACGTATAAGACAGGAAAAAAAAACTTTTTCGTCGTTGTTTTTTCTTTATAGCTTTTAAAAATAGATTCTGCTTATTCATTGACTTTTTTATTTACAGGAAAACCAAAAATAATGCTTGTTGTTATCCATTCTTGTGAAGATGGTGTTGTACCAGAAAACTTGTTGACAAATCGACCGGATGACAGAATCTCAGATTTCACTAACATTCTTTACAGTGAATCCAAGAATTCCTGTTATGATAGCTTTACTAACAGTGTTGCTGCTCATGACATTCGAAGATTTATAAAATACCATTTTAATTGAAATTTAAAATGGTTCTAGCTTAAAAAGAAAACTCATCTCATCTCATCTTTCATCTCAAAAATACGTATTGCGGATTGATAACTAACAGTTAATATCAAGGAACAAGGATATCTATGTTCACTACTTGTATCACAAACCTTTTTTCAGTCATCTCAACATATTTTTTAGTTTTATTTACATTTGAATAACGTGGATTATGTTGGCATAATGTATAAGCATTTTGCCAGTTCTATAATTACACAAAATGTCCGCAAGTTTTTTCATATTTATAAAAAAAAAATCACTGAAATTAAATATTTGAACACAAGAAAAAAAATCGTATCTATTATTATATCACAAACGTTAGTGATGGAGAGAACGATCACAGCTCGATCTACCAAGCCCCCCATCTCTAATCCTAATAAAAAAATTATTTCTGTGAAAGAGAAACTTAAGGTATTCTACTCTATAGTATACAGTTATGGAATGGATACGAGGGAAATAGCAAATGTGGTTCCCCGAGGGAGGAAACTATTTCCCGAGGCGGCGAAGCCGCCGAAGGATATAGTTTCCTGCCGAGGGGAACCATAAGTTTGCTATTTCCCGAGTTCCCATTCCATAACTGTTTTATTATACCGAAACAATCATAGGCGATTTAATTTTTTTTTTTACCAGGTATTCCGACATTTGAAAAAAACACTGTAGAGGCATAATTACAAATGTATGCGGTTTAACACATTGTATGATAAGTAATACATCGTGTCCTAAAACAATGAAGTTATTTTTTAAAAGTATTTTCACTGACATTTCGAAGAATAACCGATTTCATCATTTTGCTAGAATTCAAGTATGATTTTGACATCGCATGTCGAAATGTTTTGACGTCATAGTTAAATTGCTAATAACATGACGTCACAGACTCGAGATTCCTTGAACGCTCTGCCCACTGAACACTTTGATTGGTTGAAATTACTATTAATATTCATGAGGGAGTATATTATTATTAAGCTCAGTTTTTATAGGGAGTAGTCTTCAGATGAGGGATGTAGTCTTTTCTCGGGGAAATAGACAGTTTTATTGTATAAAGGAGGATCTCTACACCTGTTAAGTATGACTGATTTTTGTTGCATGCATTTGTTTCTAATAATAGGCCCCATATCCGATAAAATAAGGTTCCAAAGTACTTCGATTTATTTTTTAGAAATATTTGAAATATTTTATTTATTTTGTTAAAACCCCTTCTATCTATATTTGTAAAAGCTTAGTGCTTTAAATTTCTCTGCAAAGTTTAATGTTATAAAATATTGAAATAATAACCAACAAAGTTAAAAATAAAATCAACATAATTTTTATTTAAATCTACAAAAATAGAAAAAGAAAAACTAAAACAGCATTTTCTTGAGAATAGCTGGTTGGATCCTCTTCAATATCTGAAAAGATATATAATATCAAAGAGTAAAAACAATGAAAAAAAGAAATTGAAAAAATTTGAAAAACTGTCAAAAATTTATAAACATCACAAAAATTCAGGTATGAGAGATCCGCTTTAAGAGTGGATTCAAATATCTTGGTAATGTTTTTTTTTAAATAAACTTCAAATAAACTCTACTTACACAAGTATTAAATAAATGTCACGCAAGGACATTGAAAGAAGTTCGTATTGTACATGTATTGTTTTTCCATGAGTTTAAGCGAAAATCATAGCATTTCCAGTCAATCACAAAGACATGTATTTAGCGAATTCATGGTATTGAGAAAGGAAGATTTACTTACCGTTTCTATCCAGCTTGCATGTGTTATCCGGTGCTAAATATATAACAAAACAAGTTAAGATGGTAAATGGCCAAAAGCGGTAAAAAAAATTCCTATAACCAAATGCACACTTCGTCTAAAACCTGCACGTTTCCCATACTTGTAAACAGCTGACAATCAATATTGATCAAACGTTTGGGTCATGCGAAATTTCACCGGGTATAACCATTCATTCGGGTGTTAACAAATCGAGAACAGAATATCCTCTAGTCAATGGGAAGATAATACATATGTCTTATCTGATCAAATTTGCATTTTTGGGGGATATATTTTGTAAGAAAGCATATATGCTTATTGAAGAAATAAATTTCTGAGTGTATGGCGTCTTGACACGTAATGATAAATTAGCATATGGACAAGCCATGTTTTATATCATTTTTTTTTTCTCACCTTAAGATCTTATTCTAACAAGTTTGTAAATGTATTATTTAATAATCAAATAAGTAGAAATTGAATAAATTGACAAACAATTCATTTTTAAAGAAAGGGTATGCATTGGGCAATACACTGTATTAATTGATGTGATATAATGTAAATTCCATCCACAATATCGCATGTTGTGTTATACTCAGTGATTTATCGGCGTTAAGTGAATTTGAATCTGGTCATTTGGGATCAAAATGGCGTTTTTATGGAAGAACGCCATGTTTTGACGTTGTAGAGAGCCCCCTTAATTTTACATAGAGTAATTACTGTAGAGGTATAATAAAATACCCTATAAGCAGAATGTTTAGCGAGGATTAAATTTCGGCATTATTAGCAAGGGTGCTAAAATTGTATATTGCTAAAAAATAATTGCACTTTGTTTGTAATAGCTTCTTTATTAACTTTTCGAATCGCTAAATGTACATCTCGCTAAAAATAAAACTAACCAATTTTTAAGGACAAATCACTTATTTTACGTTTTGCTAAAATTTACAATTCTACGGTATTCTAGAAGCGGTGAAAATCAAATGAAATATATAGAGATATAACATTTTTGAATTAGTTTTCTTATTATATCAGAAATGTAATAAGTTTCGCTATAAACTCTGAAAAATGCTGTCATACCGGAAACAGTTATGTCACCCCGACGGAAACATTTATGTCAGCCTTTCGATCACCTTCACGTGTTTTTACGTTTCGCATTTTAGTTTGGGTTCGAGATGTTATGACGTCGGTTGCTAACCAAAAGTAAACAACACAGTGTACAGTATTTCTTAACGTCAACAAGACATTTTTGGATTATTTGTGTAAAATGTATCGATTTTGAATGATTTCAAATTTTCTTTCAATAATAAAAATGTCATATAACATATACCACATGGCTTCTCGGGCGACTATACCAGAATATTTGCCCCTCGTTGACAGGAAAGCCCTGGAGTGTTTTGTCACCCTCTGCCTTCCGCATCGGGTGACATAACACTCCAGGGCTTTCCTGTTATCTCGGGGCAAATATTCTGGTATGTCACCCTCGAAGCCTTGTGATATATGTATAATACAAACAGTATTCAAGATCAAGAGTGAATTAAACAATATACATTTTGGAGCAGAACAAACTCGGGCCTCTAAAACATCGGAGGTATGATCTGGTGCCATGGAGGAGTGAGAATCCCCTACTGACCGGTCATAGCCGCAATGTATAATATAAATGACGGTAAAATTGTCTATAATTCAGTGTGTAAACAATGGCCTAACAAAGTATGAAAGATGTTGGTCAGCATTTGACTTCAAGATACATTTTATTGCTGACAAAGTCATTGTATTGTCCATAGATCTTTACCAAATTACATGTATATCCCTAATCGAGACTGTTGATATTCTTGTTTCATCATCTTGTTTGTCAATAACTTACCTCGCTTTAGAAATTGTTCATACGTAGAGCATGCTCTTATGTATTGAATTAACTAAGAGATATAAACCCCGTATGCAGCTGATGAAGGTATATATTCCTGCGTAAGCAAGGGGAGATGGCGATTGAAAAGTTGAAGTTATCATGTTAACCATAAACCTAGGTGTGGAAACTTCCACGAACTGTTTAGAAGTTTTCAAAAATTTGTAATATCCAATTTTTTTTTTTGGACTACAATTGTAATACATTGTACTGTAATATAAATACTGAATAAAAAACCATACTTTGTGATTTCTTAAACAAAAAAGGTGCGCGAGAGATGGAGGCTATATATACTTCAGAAAAGAAAAAAAATATTTAGCGTTTGAATTAATTACAAATGACAAAATAAAATGTATTTATGGAAGCCCTGGAGGGACATTGACTTACTTGTTATGACTTATTTGTTATAACTTTATTTGGTTTGACTTATTTGTTGTGAATGTTTGTAGTTAGTTGGAACTAAGTGTAAGAGCTATTGAAAACCTGTTGCTTTGCTTACTTTTATAATAAAAAATAATATTTAGTCCTATTTTAACTGTGGAGTTTGATTGACAAATTGTAGTTTAACGTCCAGTACAGTTGTGATTTCTAAAGTAAATATTATTTTTGTAGTTATAACTTAATTCTTATGTTCTAAAATTTATTACTTAATTCTTATATGTAACTTCCAGTTTGCATAATGATTGAAGACAAGAACATGACTACTATTTTATCTTTTCTTGTAATAAATTCAAGGACACTTTTTTTCTGAAACTATACGTTGCCTCCATCTTTCACGCCATTTTTTGTGAAGTAAACTTGTCATAACAAATTCTAATTACATGTAACAAGAATTCAAAGTTAAGTCATAAGAACTAAATCAAAACAAATAAGAAATAAGTCAATATCCCTCAAGGGCCTCCGTATTATTAATAGATAAAAATTTAGTAATCACATCAGTTTTGTACGTTTAACTACAAAAATAAGAAAGCTATTGAAAACCTGTTGCTTTGCTTACTTTTATAATAATAAATAATATTTAGTCCTATTTTAACTGTGGAGTTTGATTGACAAATTGTAGTTTAACGTCCAGTACAGTTGTGATTTCTAAAGTAAATATTATTTTTGTAGTTATAACTTAATTCTTATGTTCTAAAATTTATTACTTAAGTCTTATATGTTACTTCCAGTTTGCATAATGATTGCAGACAAGAACATGACTACTATTTTATCTTTTCTTGTAATAAATTCAAGGACACTTTTTTCTGAAACTATACGTTGCCTCCATCTTTCACGCCATTTTTTGTTAACTAAACTTGTCATAACAAATTCTAATTACATGTAACAAGAATTCAAAGTTAAGTCATAAGAACTAAGTCAA